AGTGTTGAAGGGCAGGTTGGATGGGGCTTGGAGCAGCCTGGGCTGGTGGGAGGTGTCCCTGCCCATGCAGGGGTGGCACTGGAATGTCTTTGAGGTCCCTCCCAACCCCAACCAGTCTGTGATTCTATCATTCTCCTGCCCCAGCTTCCCAGGCGAGAGCTTCCCTCACCCAAGGAGGGCTCTGAGCCCCCTCTCCACCCTGCAGCAGGTTGGTCCCACCCTCCCCGTGGGGTCTCACCCCTGGAAGTTCCCAGGCACGGTGATCTTGCGGTTGACCAGCGCCTTCATCACCCGACTGACCATCTCGTAGAGCGACCCCGACATGTTCTTGGTGAGACGCCCCTCGAAGCGCTTCTCCACCTCCTCCCTGCGCGGCCAAGGAGGGGGCAGCGCTGAGGGGGGCAGCCCGGGGGGCTCAGCACCTCCCTCCCCACAGCCCCCTGCCCGGGGGAGGGGAGGGCAGGGAGGGGGCTTGGCAGGAGCTGCGCTCACTCGTTCATGTTGAGGGTGAGGGAAATGTCCTCGTCCTTGGAGAAGAGCAGGATGAGGAAGTGGTAGCGGGTCTGGCCTTGCTTTATCGGGGGGTCCAGGCTGATCTGGAAGGAGAAGAGGCCCTGAAACCCCCCTGAACCCGTCACCTGCAGCCCCCTGGGGTGGGGGCAGCCCCCGTGCCCTCACCACAAAGAACATCTGTCGCTGGTCCTTGTGGGGCAGCAGGAAGAGGCGCAGCACCGTGGTGTAGGGGATCTTGTAATCGAAGGTCTTGCCGTGCAGGTGCAGGAAGGTGGGGTAGATGCGGATGTCGTAGCGGCCGCGCGGCGTCAGGCACTGCAGCTCCCGGAAGATGCAGATGGCATCTCCCGTGGCCTGGATCACGTCTGCCTTGGACAGGACGTTCTGGGCAAAGGCCTGAGAGGGAGAGGGAGTCACGGGGGGCACCATCCTCCCCCGCCATCCCCCTCAAGCTCCAGAACCCCCGCTCACCTCCACAGGGTCCACGCCATCCTCCTGGGTGGGCGGGACGTAGAAGCGGACCTCCATGAGGGACACCTCGGCGTCATCGTTCTGGTGGAACTCCAGTGTCACCTCGTTCTTCCCCGTGGTGCACTGGGACACGTTGCTGAGCGGGATCTCGAACACCGGCTGCTCCCCGATGTCGAAGGACAGCAGCTGCCCTGGGGTGGGGGGGACAGGGC